CGATTAGAAAATTCAAACAGTTTTTTTACTCTATAAATATAATTTACTAATAACCAAGTGGACTCAACCAAAATTCAATTTATTTTAAAATCGTAGCAACTCTAAAAATATTTAATTTCTTACACTGTTCATAATAACGTATTTATCATTTTTGCTTATACTCAAAAATATGAATTATTATATTTATTTCATAATCATTAAAGTCATAGTGTGTAATATTTTCTAGGGATTATTTTAGTTTTGGATATATTGTCCGTTGGATATTTACAAATTGGATGTTTTGTCCGCAGACGTTAAAACTTAAGAAATTTTTACTTTTTAAAGTATTATCTAAAAAATTAGTTTGTAATTGGTTGACACGAATGTTATACTACAAAGGTCGTATACGACGTATAAAACTCTCTACGGAATAACATTGGACACATCGTTTGTCAAATAACTGGTGGACTATAATTAGAAAATTGAAACTTTATTAATTAATTTCTCGATCTATATTTTTTGAATTTTTCTTACTCTTAGCAACTCCAATATGATCACATTTACATTAAATTACGAAGAAATAGTTCTAGGTAAAATAATTAATTACAAATAACTTAACAGACACGTCGGTAGTGATGTAAAGAAAGGATTTTCTGGGCAACGGGAAAATTCTTAAGAATATTCTCATGTATATTATTCCGAGAGATTATATTCTAAAAAAATTAATGAATAAATAAAAAATAAACATTTGTTACGAATTTATGATTGAAAAATAATCATCTTCACTTGGTTGATAGTCTCTTGATAATATAAATATCAAATATTCATTGAATATTTGATATTTTTAGTGAATATTATTCACTAAAAAAAACTATTTGTTGTTTAAAGACTAAAAGTAAAAAACTCCCATAAAAATGACTTAGTATTGGATGTAATTGACAAATTTCCGGTCCAGAATACTTCATCACGATCACCGAAAAAAAAGCTCAATTTGGCTACTTCTAAATATCTCAATCAGAAATTAACGGTAGACGCAGTGCTGTACCAGTACTGATAGTTCTGGCGCAGTTTGGGCTACCAGTACTAGACCAATACTGAAATATGTCTGGAACGACATGATGCTTTTCCCTACTGACAGATCAGTACAAATGGTTTTGTATGATCAGTGTTACGCCAGTACTCTGCCGACAACGACAGGCAAGTACTGACCGCCAACGCTGGATGAGTGTTTAAACATTTAATCAGCCAGTACTAAGTTTGAACTGGTTGGCCAATGGTCAGCTGTCAGTACTTATGCAATACTTCGCCTGTTATCAGTACTAGTAGAGTAACCTTAAATAAAAGTGCGCTGTTTTATTTTCTATCGCATATAACTTGGGGTATATGGTAGTTATGAATAATTTTGGATTTTTTTTTTTTTAGCTAGACAAACTATCAAAAAATAAAATTTAATAGTGTCATTTAAACTTTATTAAATGATTAATGAACTTAAATAAAATGAAAAATAAAAGCGTAGTCTTGCCCAGTTTATGTGGTAAGAGTCCGATCGAATAAATTTTATATTAATAAATAAATATCTGTTTAACAGAGTTTTTTTAATCGAAATTACAAAATAATGACAAAGTTTATTGAATAATATTTTTAATAAATAAGATAATTACATAAAAATCGGAGTAAAAATAATTCAAATAATGTATCAATCTCATTTATTTTTAAATAAGTATAAATACATTAGTTTAGATCATCAATGGACTTTTACTTCAAATCAAAATTTTTTAATTAAATTCCATGCCAAAAATTGTGTGAGAAAATAAATCTATGCCATTACTATTGAGTAATAAATTATATGATTAATAAAAATGTTATTAAATAGTATTCCTAAAGAGTGAAGTATGACATAAAAGTATAAATAAATTTATAATCTTTATTATAATATATTTAATTTTAATTCCATGCTTTATAACGACTAATTAGATATTTAAAAATGGTTCAAGATTTCAAAATTATCAATAATAACTAAAAATAAAATTATTGAGAACTAAATAAATAAATTTGAAGGTGACCAATTTTCTATTCGATGATCATTTAGGCCTTCTCTAAAATAATGTAAAATATCATAAAAATAAGTTTAAAAGTATATTCTTGGAAAACATTAATACGGTAATTTTACATCACCACGTGTAGGTACATAATTTTTAAATGTTTATTTTAAAATTAAGATAACTTCGTTTCAGTAACCTTTTCTGACAAGCGTTAAATACTATAATTGTAAAATATGTTTATATTTTTGCTCAAACTTGAAAATTTACAATGATGTTTACATTTTATTTCAAATAACTATGAACCTTCAGCCGTTGCTGTCACTTATTTAATTTTAATATATTTTCATAATTTTAACTTGCACGCTTTTAACGTAATTTATATTTTCTTCGTAGGTAAATTAAAAAAAAAACATTGTTTTTTCATATAATAGACTTTTTTAGGCTGTAAAATTACAGAAGAATTTATTAAAAAAAAAAAAGTTGATCACTTTTATTGTGTTTAACATTATTTATCGTCATGCTAAACATTATTTTTGAAATTATTTTTGTTTTGGTAAACACGCCAATAAACAATAAAAACATGCAATTCAAAATCACTTGTAAAATAATACTTAGAATTCATGTGTTAAACTACTGTTTGAACATTTCTCGCATCATTAAGATTTCATTCATGGTAGTGGTAAAGTTCAAGCAAATAAATATGTAAATTACAACAATATAAAATAATAATGTATTTTATACCTAACAAAATCGAGTTGTATGAGCAGTATGTATGAGCGATTCAAATGAATGGCAAGCATTTGTGAAATGTTTAGAGTAATCATTGCAAGAATTACAATCCGTTGCCAATGAAATATTTAGTATTTGACTAACAGAACAATGTTTAGATACATTATTTTAAAATAGATAAAATTCTCAAGTATGAAACAAAATCATTTTATTTATAAAAATATTTTATGTTAGTTATTCTTCTTCTTTTTATTCTCCTTAATCACAACTACTTGGGGTCGGCCATCCTTATCATAAACTTCCACTTGACACAATCTCTCACATCATCTACGTTCACATCAGCTGTCCTTATAACGCATTCAACAATATCCCTCCATCTCTTTTTTGGTCTTGCTCTTTCAACATTAACTTCCATAAGTTTTCTTCCAGTTTTCTATTTCTCTTTCTTCATTTCATGACCAAATCATCTAACTCTATTTTCCCCCACCTTATCTCACAATAGACACTACACCTATACTCCCTCTTATATGCTGGTCCCTTATCCTATCTTCTCTAGTCACTCCACTCCTCTATCTAAGCATTCTCATCTCTGCTACACCTATTCTCTGCTCTATTTTCTTGTAAACCGCCCAACACTCTGAACCATACACCATAGCTGGTCTCACTACAGTCTCATAGAACTTACCTTTCAGCCTCATTGGAATTCTGTAATCGCATAAAACACTAGTGCGCTTCTCTCTATCCGGCACTTAATCCTGTGTCATAATCAAAAATATTATCGCAATAAAAATATTTTATATTATTTATCGAAAAGTTTATTTCTTTGAAAAATTTATTTAACAGTAGATTGGGTTTTATGCGTTATTTTTTACAGCCAAAATAGATTCATGAAATTATCAATACTTTGTGTTATTTGAATTTTCATAAAAGTCGATGACTTTTTTTAGATGAGTTAGTGGCCATACATCATTTTTTTACTTATAAAGATTTTATAACACCGATAAAACATTTATTGAAGATTGAAATTACATTAAACATTCTGTAAACGTTTTTTCAAATTTGTTTTTCTTGAAATATTATTTAGGAGAACAGTTTTTAAAGATTGTATTTTATTAAATAAATAACAAACTTAATTTTTTGAATTCAGATATTTTGAATTTAAAATTACTTGCCAATTTTTTTTTTTTTTTTTTAATAGAATTCTAAGTAAAAGTTTAAGAAAATGGTTTTAAATTAATCAAGTCATAGTATAAACAAAAGACAACTTTTTCATAAAACAACGTTTATGAGAGAATATGAATTGACAATTATAAAAAGTCGTACATTTGTACAGAAAAAATTGAAAATTATAAAAAAAATAACTAAAGTAATCATAACAACAGTAAAAACTTTTGTTATTTATAAACTTTATTTAAGAAAAATATTGAATTTTATATATTCATAAAGTTCTACCGTTTTCAGAATATTAGAGCAGAAAAATGGCAAGCCGCGTGAGATAACTAATTTCAATAAGAACCGGAACTATTTGAAAGTGGAGCTTATGCGGGTTATTTAGTTTAGGCAACTTATTTAGCCTTCTAAAACTTCACAAGTTTAGAACATTGCATTTAATGAAATGTGCAATGTAGTAACTTAATAGTATTTACTGTGCAAAATCAATGTTATTCTTTCGGTTGAGTAACTTTTATGATGTTGTAAATAATATCATCGTACCTCGAATCGTGTAACTGATTTTATTTAAAAGTAATAATAACCAGTAATAATTGTACTTTAAGATGAAAACTGTACTTAAGTCAAAATATTACGATAACATTGTCTTATCGATTAATATTCCATAGATTGTAATTCGCAAAGCATACAGTTACTTGACTATGCCATAAAAAAAGAGTCAAACTCTCTCATATGAAAAATATAACTTGAACCCCATTTATTTTCACCTTTTATCGTATTTATAGTTGGTCATACTTGAAAAAATTAGTTGAAAAACGAAACAAAAAAATATATAGGCGATAGTTCAGGTAAGGTCATGAATTTTGTTCTTTCAAAATCATAAAATATCGACAGAAGTTTTTTTCAAGGGTACGATGTATAACGTTATTTTTTAATTGCCGATTACTTTTGTGTTTTAAAAGAGACTTGTCCAGTCGATTTCGTTATAATTTTGAGACGTTTGCAATCGTTATGATTAAAGAAACGTTGAAATGAACACTACTTTTGTTTTTACTACGCATAAGTATTGAAAATATTTACCAGCTAAATTGTCTCCCGCTTCAGATGTTAAGATCCGTTAGATTATTCCAAAGTTTTCAACGAGACCACCGCAAAAACTCTCTTTGTTTCAAACAATAACGCACAGTTACAAGATATTCGAAAAAACACTAAATCAGATCAACGTTTGCGACGATCGCTTTAAAAACGGATCTTTTTTACGGACATTGTCGTTTGGCCAGCGTTGGCCACAACAGTGCGATAAATATATAAATATATTTGCAACACCGAAATAATCACTCAATTACCTAAAAATAAAAACGAAAAATGTTCGCACATACGCGCGTTCTGTATATTCGATATTACGTTGTGATTACGTGTCAGCGCGCAAATTTTTATAATTAAAAAAAAAAAAACAAAAGTTGTTTCACAAATCTGAGAGACACGGGTGTCTCGCAACTGGATCGGCGACGGTCACGGTACGGACGACGCACGACGGCAACTCGGGACGAACGCCGGCAAGCTGATGGTCTGGTGGTGGCGGTCGTGCTGGTGGTAGCGGCGGCGGCGTTGGTGGCGACGGTAATGGTGCAGTTGGCGGTGAGGGTGCAAGCCGCTAAGGATAGAGCGTCGACGTCGTAGTCTGTGCCGGTGATAGCCTCGAGATCCGGCGCCGGCGCCGATCACTCACCAATTATCGGCTACTTAAAAGTAAAACCCTAAGATTGCTTTTATTTGCCTCTTTAAATTTCACACTGTTTATAATACAAACACGGTAATTAGCAATTGCTGCGTTAAATCCCGCAATTGCCAACTATTAACCGGATACGGTACAAGTCGCAGCGCATGTGACCAACCCAAAATGGAAACCAACAGTCGTAATCCACAAGTGCACTAGTACTTTGTAACTCATTACAATAATTGTAATGATGATTGTGGTACACCACCAGAAAATATCGTTTTTTACATAAAACAACAATTGAGAAAATGTATTACCTTGTGGGTTTCGTCCGATCGATATAATTTATTTCTATACTTTCAAGAAATAATTTTGTCACGGGTTTCCTCATTCAAATGTCACCGAACGAATTAAATAAATAAAATTTACAGAAACTTTTGTAAGACAACAACGCCTAACCGCGTACGGCTAAAATAAATATTTTGGGTGACAATGTAAATTTTATTCTATTATAAAAAACAATAAATGTAAATATCAAATGTGTATAATTCAGTGCAAATATAGATTGAAAAAACCCTTAAGATTTATAACTTAAGTATTAGTATATTTTTTTATTAAACTTTTATTGTTGAATTGATGCGAACGAAAAAAAAACAAATATTTTAAATCTCAAGTCTTTAGAAAATCACTTTTACGACCTAATTCATTTAGGAAAATTAATTATCAATAAACCGAGGTATTTTTTATTGGTCAGTTATATTATTATCATCCGCTTAAAATTAATTATTCAAAGGCTACGCGGACTAGAAATTATAAATTCCTCTTCTAATGAATGTTATATCGATTTTTAAACTAGCTGTCTATATGACTTGCACATATGTCGATGAATACATATATAAATTAATTGTTTAAGATATGTACACTTAATGCTTTGTCGAGATGTGTATTTCTTATTGAAATTCAATCCGATGAAGTATTGAATTAATAGATGTTAATAAAACTAAAATTATAGTAGTAAAGCTGAACTGTAATCTAAGTTTCTATTATTTAGCTGGAATAATAAAAAACAGGTAAAGAGAGTTTCCTTATTAAAAATCGATTTAAAATTTCATAATTAAATTAAAATAATAAATAACTGATTTTTATTGCGTTTTATCAACGTAAACTGGTCATCAAACAAACTAAGATACAGTAAAAGCATTGTTTATCTGAAAATCAAATCTATATAACTATCATAAAGATTCAAGTTGTGATCTTTAGTTAATACTGTATTGTGATAAATAAAAGAGTGTGTTATTGTAAAATCATTTTCCTCTATAGTTTTTACTCCTAACAATCATCATACCCTTAGAAGTGATAATAACATTAACGCAAGGGATAATAACTACCAATAACATCATTATAGAAAATTGAATCCAATGGAAATATATTTCATGAAATAAAACTTTTACACAAATATTCTTTGGCCCAAAAAAAGTTATAAAATTTCATTTTTATTGGAAAAGTCTAACACAAAGCAAATGTATAAATAATATATTTATAATTATTAATCATTTTATAGTTTATTAAAGTATGTTTTACATAAATTTTTAATTTTTATAAAATTTGACGTCATTAAAATTTTTTTAATGACTTTCACGTGAAATTGAAACTGTAAAAAAATGTTTGTTTTCCTTTAATAATAATTACTGAATTATTTAAAAATGAAATGTCTCTATAATTATTCGACAGTTCTTTATCGGAGTAATTCAATTGAGAAAAAACTCATTTTGATGCACGTTACTTAATGAAACAAAGACAAAAGTTTTTCTTTAATTGAGCAACTTTATACAAATATTTATGTTGAATATTTACTTTTTTGTACAACATCGATGGTTTACTGAATAGCAGAATAGTAATTTGAATATATAATTGGTGCAACCCGTAAAAATTCTCATCTCAAATAATAATTTTCTATTATTATGCCGCTCAATCACTAAAAAGTGTGGTTTGTTTATCACGAGCCACTTATTTAATCGAAAAATAAAAATAATATTGATAATTGTTTTTCCTTATAGTTACATACTTTTTTCAATTTAATAATCATAAAGTATTTTTTTTTTTTTATCCCTTATACTTTATAAGGGTATCAATCTATTTACTTTTTCAAATGGTAGCATACATAATTAATTCGAGACGATTTCAGGTGAGACACGAGTGTTGCTATTTTATCACTAGTTATTTCTCTCTTCCTACCAACCGGATATAAAAATCTATATTTTAAAATGGTAATAATTTCGGAAATATAAAATAAAAAGTTTATATTTACCAGTAATTTTCCTAATTACATCATTGTCTATCAGATAAGCTAGTTAAATATGTATGTAACCGTTTGAAAAAATCAAATTGACACTCTTCAAGACATAAGAGATGAACATAAAAAGTACTTCGTGATTATTTAGTTGAGATTAGTATGTAACTCAATAAACAAAAAAAAAAAAATTATCAATATTATTATTATTATTTGAATATGTAGTTTATGGTCGACGAATCACTTGTGTACTGCTTGTCCGCATATGTTAAAAATATATCTAGTTGAATGTAGAACTTTACTGTATCGTTATAAAACTATGAATTTCATAATTATATTTAATTTACATGTTTATGCTAATCCATCAGCAATAGGAGAACCATTATAGTGCACTCATAATCAAAAACAATAAAATAAAAAACTTCTAATAGTTCCAACACATTTTTTAAACTCATATTTACATCCTTCTTGAATATCCTCACGTTAAAAATACTTATACCAGTGGCGGCTCGTGGCTTGGACGATCGCACGCCCTACTGAAATTAATTAAAAGAAGAAAATTAATCGTATATTCTTAATTCTACGTTTTTATGGAGTATACAAATTTTTAAATAGTAAAACAGTCACAATTCATTATTCGTGTGCGAACACTAATGTGACAAGAAGCCCCTTAATATTAAAGGGGATCGCCTGTTACTGTGCAGTGATGTTGTTTATTTGTAGAAAAACAAAAAATAAGAGGGGGTAAGGAAATAGGTACAACTGCTCATAAATGTACAAAATACGAATTATATATTTGTCTTCCTACAAAATCAAACTCTTAATAAATAAATAAACGTGATATGCGAAAAGGGTCGTCTACGCGGATAGAAACGCACGAGGCACGAAAAGATCTGGAACGTCCGGATGTTAAGAGTCCCACGCAACAGAATGAGCAAAACATACGAGAGAAGGAAACGCACTATTTATTTGTTGAGGAACGGCTATAAAAATCTTTGAGGCGCGAAACGAGTGCACTGTAAACGTACAAAAAAACGCTATGACGCTCGCCGGGGAAGGGACGACAAGGGACGTGGCATGAACACGTTCGAACCGGTCATACACGAGTGCCACACTCTACCCATCAACTAAAGTCGTTTCTCTCAGTATGATACACACACGAGCAGTGTTTGGACGACCGGCAGCAACGTCGCAGCAACATGCAGAAACGTATACTGTTAGCGAACCGCTGCAATCGTGCGCGCGCGGGTTGGTCCCACTGCAATGTTATGTACAGATTTTGGACGACCGGCAGCGTCGCCCATACGGAAAAAATATTGGCATATTACTACATTGGATAGTTTATTTTTAGAATTAACTACGTGTACGCTCATCGTTATCGATTGCTACAATAGTGTAATTCCTATTATTATTATTATTATTCATTTCATTTCTATTTTCTACTGCGACCTTTAAAATAATAATATGTGTAGTGTGTTTTATTTTGTTATATTTAATTTTTTATACCAATAACAACTAGCGGTATTATATTTAAAGTCGCACCCACGAGCCAACCCACTGACTTATAAAATACAATTAAGTGTTTTTTTGTAATTTTTAGATAAATTAAAAATGCACGTTTAATTGCGTTCAACTCTATCGCACCTTAACAATTCTTCATAGGTAAATCGTAAAATCGATATTAAACTAAAACAAGATAACATTAATTTATCTGACAAAAACAATTTCGCTAAAGAATAACTGTATTAAACGAAAAGTAAATTTTAAAAGCTAAAAATTAAAAATACAGTTGCAAATTTTGCGGTACTATTTGGGGCTTAAAAACATCCATTAAGAAGACTAAAGAATAATCTACTTAACATTTCAATTCTTAAAAATGTTAAGTACATATTTTAATGGAAAGCAGTTTTTGATTTTAGTGTTTAGGATAAAAAGTGTTTGCATAAACTAGAAAGAATGCAGTCCATATAACTAAAAATGTAATATGTTACACGTGCAATCATTATGAGCAGGGGAAGGGAGGGTCCCTGGGGGGTACGATTAATTTTATCGACGTATACGTGGATGTTGAATTGGCAGAGGTACTCGTGTTAAAATATTAGTTCCGTAAATGTTTGCTCAAAACGTTTTGTAGTTCCGTCATTTGTCTATTTATGTGACATACTCGCTAAGTCACAAGAAAAATAAAATTTCAAATGGCAACAGCTAACCAAATATAAAATACTGTTTTAATGAAATTTCAGAGTAATATAGAAAATGTGATTTTGTAATCATAAAATGTTTGATTTATTTGAAAAAGTTATTACCAATCTTTAACAATTAAGTAAATATTTTACGATCAAGTAAATTCCCTTTGACGTGCATTTATATTAATAATAACACTCGCAAGTAAAATAGAAATTGTAGTTCTAATACATATCCAATTAAAATTCATATAAAATGTATTTTTTACGAAACAACGTGTTATTGTTAATTACTTTGGAAATTTTATGACACTTGACAATAATTTTATCATGCTACTTTGATCACTGTCTATGGAAAAGAGATTAAACATTCGATCTGAGAGA